GTAGCCGAGAAGCCACAGCATTAAGCAACAATGCTGCTACCATTGAGCTGCTCTGTTAACCTGCTGTGCTCACCGCGTGCTCGATTTGTGGAGGTTATGACGGTGGTCATGATGCCTAGGACGTTTGCTTCGCAAGCCAGCTACCAAAGGCGCTGAAGGCACTCTGTTGCTTTTCCCGCTGCTTTTCTCTTAGCTACTCATGAGTAACCAAACTTTTATGGGCAGTGGTTTCTAGTGAAGCTTTATTGCGATGCAAAGAAAAAAGGATAGCACCGAAGGCTGAGTAAAAATTATCGATGCCCAAACCAACAATTACTTAGCACCACTAACTAAAACATTTGTATAAAAGACCGCCAGAAGCTCTTCTCATCCACTAGGCTGAAATGGACAACTCCGAACACAATTCGTTTGATGCCCGATCGCCTTTCTCTCCAGTTTACTCTAACGAGTTCTGTTTTGCGAATTGTTGCAACAATGGCCCATTGCCTTGCTGGGTGCTGTTGGCAAAATCTCACTCGGTACTGCGGCCTGACGGTATTTAAACGAGGAAGTTACTATTGGTTAATCCTAAGACTGGTGAAAGGAAGAAGGCCTTCGCTACGGAGTTACTTATTAAGAAGTACCCACTGGCCGGTTACAGACTATTAGATGGGGAACCAAAACTCTCATTTGCCTCTTATTTACAAAACTGGACATCCATCTTCTCCTGAACGCATCCTCTTGAACTTTCCTGGACATTCATTGGCTGCAATCATTCATTGCTCAAATCCAAGCAAATGTTACAAAGTGACTCCACAAATTCCGAAACAGATCTCCTCCTTCAAAGAGACGCAAAGCGAAATTCCGAGAACAACACATACTACTCGCATGCCTCCCCATCAGTAGTATCACCGTTACACTGGTAGTAGTGGACTTACATTTTATTACTTAAACTGATTGAACTGACCGATAACGGAATATACTTCAGATAGCGCTTACTCTTTTACGTTACCCATCAGGTTACCTAAATTAACTTCCGTGCATTCCGCACCGCACTAGTCATCTTCGATTCTACACATCTTCTTCTACATTCTACAATGTCGCTCCTTTCGCAAGAAGGTTTAGTTTGATCCAAAGTCCATGTGTTGACACCTCATACTATTATCTGAGGGAAGCTTTTGGGTAACATGAGGATAAAATGTATTCTAACCGGGTTTATAACGATTGATTTTAATATATGCTGCATCCGCCTTTTTGCGCGCAGACGATCATGATGCAACGATAGGGCGAACCTCAATAAACTGGCCACTTAAAGTACGCTGCTTAAGAAGTCTCAACTCACAAATGCGTGCCAGTGACTGACACGTTAGAATTTTTAGTAATGGTATGCTTTTTGGAATTTGAACCGACGAACGTCCACATCACTTCGTTTTACCAAAGCGGAATTGTCAGCGAATATAAATCCTATACATGCCTTAGATTTCACTGCTTGTCTGTTTGTCATTCAACCAGGTGGAGCTGCGTAATACTGAATACACGCATTAGGTCCTACGACCAAACAAGACTGTTATTGCTTGAAATACTGTCTTGCTCCTCATGTTTTTATCCTTAAACCTTTTCAAATGCTTTTGATAGTACAAGGAGATTAGAGAACGTTTCAATTGAAATTCGATCCTGTAAGTGAAATCTGTTCCATCCTGACTTGTATCATCTCATTAATTGCGATGAAGTTTGTAACCCGCAACATTCCGGATAGTAGTTGGCTTCGGGACTGTTTGGCCACAGGAGGTTGACCGACGGTGAGAAGGTCGCTTCTGGGTTGAATGCATTGTCATTCATCCCCCAATCACTGGATGTCTCCCACCTGATTGCTCTTTGACTGCCACCACGAGCGGCGTCTTCTAATACTCATGGTTCCTTCATCGTGTAAACTACTTTTTTGTGAGCTACTTGCACTTTGTTTGAAGAGACATATGAATTAGTCTAGTCTTGTTCTTTGGTTGTTGATGACATTTCGGTTATTTCCGTTAGGTTTAGGAAACACAGATCATCAATGTAATGTTACAAAAAATTAATCCATCGACGATCCCTTGGTCCTTACAGTTGTGGTTGAAACTACATTTGTGCGTCCTATATCTGGGTGGTTAAAAGGCACTTAACACACAAACTGATGATGGAGCTGATGGAGGCTCAATGACCTGAACCGCACTCCAAGCGCCTAATCGTTTTTACTGTTTGTGAAGACCCGTTTATCCTGATGTATCCTCCTGATTTCAAATTAACACTGTCAATTAAGCGTACCCTCTTGTACAAAAGACACGTGAGCACACAAAGTGAATATCCATCAACTGTGTTTTCAGTGATAAAGAAAGCACCAGATTAACACGAATGAGCTGGTTCTGACAAGTACGTATTAACAGCGAGAAACGTTAACGGACAAGAAATAATCAACACACGCCCACCAAACTCTTATCAATTTTTACCATCCTTTCTACTACGTAGCAGCCCGTAGCATGAAAATTAGTCTAAGCTTGTTCGTAAGAATGTTTCAGAATAAATCTAGTTAATTTTCCATTTCTGGTTCTGTTTCCAACGCGGACAGTGTGCATTTTGAAAGAAATGAACAAGTCTTATTTGATCGACGCAAAACCACTCATACGTTCTACCTTAGATAATCCAACTCTCTGCCTCAAGAGTAAGTCCTACTACATACAAGTACGTTCATTGTGTGGCTTCATTGCTCATCACTGAACAGGGCTAACCAGAAAGCTGAACAAGCCCCAATATACAGATGAAAATTCATCTTCACGTGTGTACAATTTGCCACCCAAGTAGTTGATGAAATTCAAACAGTTTTTTAGTAAATCTACCTGAAAACCTCCAAATTGGTAGGGGACTTTTGGCCTGATTACTTAACTTAAATGAAATATCGTATTGCTCAGCCTAACCGCCAGGTAATCGTCATGCAACCAGTTTGTTTGAAGATTGAATTGAATTATAGGGTTTAAGTTTAAGAGAAAATGTCTCAGCAGTTGACTGAGTGTTTACGTTTCCAGAGCAACCGTATCTCTCTAGAAATTTGCCTAACAGGACTTAGTAAAACCACCAGGAAGCACTGATCGTTTACCAACTCTACATCACGCTACATTTTTTGTAACCCTCTGAGTGAAATACCGTACCCGGATGGGATACCCCTACCGGGAGTCCAGGAAGCTGCACGAGTTCCGTAGCAATCTGAAAATCTAGAGACAGCCTGCGACTGACGGCAGACTTGGAAGATCGATGTTAGTGGGATTGTGGTCAACTAACTAGCACCACATTCTGAGTCAATCTGGAGGAGATCAGAAGCATGCAACGTGAGTGAGGTAAGTGAACTGTCCTGATAGCTTGCGTTCTTGCTTTATCGTTTGCGCCGCTTGAATTTTCTTCAAAGGATCCATGATTTTCAGAACAAACCGTTCTTTCAAGGATATTTGTGCAGCGTTTGCCGCCCTAGGTTAACAAAATGTTCATGACCTGTTCTATGGTAGGTCTCTTGCCCCCCCCCTTGAGAAAAATTATCAGTTTCCCAATAGATGAGTGAAGTGTGAAGCATTCACTTGAAACGCAGTTATTTTCCGTCACTTAACTAGGTATCGCCTATGTGAATGGAATCTAGAAAACTGCTGCTCACACGTACGTGACATAAACAATTCGCCTGTAGTTTTTATTTTCACTCCCAAGACCGATCTGAAAAAGGAAAATTTTGATTTGTATCAGGTATCCAGGCAAAAGATCATATATTTAATTGCTTTCTTCCAAAAACATCAGGCGTCAGATTTCATCCTTCTCCTAATTGTTGTATCCTCTCTAGTCGCTCACGTTCTCACCATATATCACCTGACCCAACGTACACGAAACAATTAATTTAGCTACGTGCAGAACATGTAACACCTTGAGTTTCTGTATTGCAAATCTCGACATTCATTACTTTAAGTCAACCTTCTCTGTACTGTTGAGAAAGAGCTGTGTAAGGACGGTATTTCTTGGTTTAGACCCATAGAGTAGAGTAGAGTAGAGTAGAGTAGAGTAGAGTAGAGTAGAGTAGAGTAGAGTAGAGTAGAGTAGAGTAGAGTAGAGTAGAGTAGAGTAGAGTAGAGTAGAGTAGAGTAGAGTAGAGTAGAGTAGAGTAGAGTAGAGTAGAGTAGAGTAGAGTAGAGTAGAGTAGAGTAGAGTAGAGTAGAGTAGAGTAGAGTAGAGTAGAGTAGAGTAGAGTAGAGTAGAGTAGAGTAGAGTAGAGTAGAGTAGAGTAGAGTAGAGTAGAGTAGAGTAGAGTAGAGTAGAGTAGAGTAGAGTAGAGTAGAGTAGAGTAGAGTAGAGTAGAGTAGAGTAGAGTAGAGTAGAGTAGAGTAGAGTAGAGTAGAGTAGAGTAGAGTAGAGTAGAGTAGAGTAGAGTAGAGTAGAGTAGAGTAGAGTAGAGTAGAGTAGAGTAGAGTAGAGTAGAGTAGAGTAGAGTAGAGTAGAGTAGAGTAGAGTAGAGTAGAGTAGAGTAGAGTAGAGTAGAGTAGAGTAGAGTAGAGTAGAGTAGAGTAGAGTAGAGTAGAGTAGAGTAGAGTAGAGTAGAGTAGAGTAGAGTAGAGTAGAGTAGAGTAGAGTAGAGTAGAGTAGAGTAGAGTAGAGTAGAGTAGAGTAGTCACTAAAACAGAGTCCTGAATTACTCTTGCTTGAGCTAGGGACATGTCGTTTAATGTGTAATTAGGCTGAGGAAAAGTTAGAGAAATAGTTCGCCTTTCGTGTTTAGCACCTTAACTGAAAGTGCTTTACTCAAACTCATAAAATGGGAAGTCAGCCAAACTTCCCCAGATAATGAATTTCTCGTCATTCGCCGCAAGAAGCCTTGTTAGTTCAGAACTGACCATTTATCTGCATTTGTCCACTCCAGAATGATCCCACACACTTAGATTTCCGATAAAGTGCCAAGATGGAACCACCCTCCGCATGCATTTTTACAAGGGTTATTGCTTTGGAATAAGCTTCTTCGGCTAAATGTCGGGTACAAGACTCCGGCTGAATGAAACTTCCTCGTTCATCAACTGTTTTAAACTGTTTGTCCCGCAGTTCGCCTTGATCCGTGCAACATGCTTTACACGTCCATGACTCGAGTATTCCCTGGACGAAAGTAATTCTTCCTCCATATCTTCATCCATATCAAGCTTATCAGAAGTTCTGAATCGCTGGTGGTAACCATTCTTTTCTTGTGCAATTATTGGAATGGAACCACGTGAGTGATGCGTCATTCTGGTTAGCATCTTCTGGGACTTACTGATCACAATTCCAAACTATTTGTAGTCTTTGGTATTTAGCTATAAGTATGGAAACAAAAAGAACGGTGCACATTTCGCACGATGAAAAGTTCCGAAACCACCATACTCCTTCTCTTGAAACAGTACTGAAAAGAAATTTTCAGCGACCTCCTGAATAGTCACATTCCTTCATGACTGTTAATTAAACTAAAAAACGTGAACTTCCAATTCTTATGTGCTTTGAGATGAAAAAATGGCTGAAAAAAGGACCTAGTGCTGACCTATCACAATTATTCCCGCGTGACCACACCTACTTAAAACGGTCACGCATGGCAGTGATCGTTTCAATTATCCAGTCGTACCAAATTGAATGAAAGTAGAAAATGGAACAAAATCCTTTGACCGACCTCAGATCGCAATTAGTTCCAACTTAACTGTTAAATCCCAGACCATTTATTCCGGCTAACGTCTATGCCAAGAACAAAATCTACCTGTGAGAGATGGATTTTCACTGTTATGGTTGAAGCAAGTAAACTGGAAAATGAACTTAAGGGCTGCCAATTCCCCAAGTATTCGATTGTCATCAATATTTCAGTCTACCTAGCGACCCATGGTAATGCTTTTCTGAACTTAACGTTTTGAATGGCAGCTAAACTTCTTTTGAACTCAAGACGGTGAAAGAGGTCTTCGGTTAACCTAGAGTTACATGTTTTTTGTATCAGACTCGTTTTGTAGTGTTAACGGTAATTAAGCCATTTCCTATAGTTACCTTGATCGCCATCCGTAATTTTTGATGGCCGGTTTGCTTTTTCAGTCAGAGTTTTGTTTGACGGCTGATAGTTGAATCTACCGGCTGTGTCAGAGGGCATCTGGGAAAGGACTTGATGGAATATCGAACAAAGAATAATTCCATGTATGGAGTCCTACTTCGTCGCTCACACAAAACCACGTGACAACAGATGTTTTTAGGCTCATAGCTACCAATGACAACACGTACATTCAATGCACGTCATATATTCACAGATTGTAAAGCTGATTCGTGAGACGCGCGAGAGGTATTAAATTCACGAGTCATATAATTGATCCAGTTCCGAACAAACACATTATCGCACACCGTGTTGGCCTTGATGGAAAAGGGATGCCTGTCATTGGAATCGATATAGGAACAAGTTACTCCTGTGTCGGAACGGTAGTCGACGGTCAGGTGCGCCTATTTCCTACCGAAAAAGGAAACAATTTACTTCCCAGTATTGTGGCATTTGATCAAGGCCGATGTCTAGTTGGTGAAGCAGCAAAGTCAAAACTGACAGAAAGCCCAGAAAATGTCATCTACGACATTGCAAGAATAATTGGAAGGTCAAGAGCGGATAAGCATTTGACGTTGGATGAAAAGAAGTGGCCTTTCTGTATTTCCGAACATCAGGGTCGTGTTGGAGTAAATGTAACGCACAAAAATCAACCAACCACTTTTACTGCAGAGGAGATTTTGGCCATTCTTTTGATGCATCTGAAACAAATGGCACAAACTGCTTTAAGGAAACCAGTGGGTGAAGCTGTCATTTGTATTCCGGCGCATTTCAATAACCAACAACGACTGGCAACAACAAGTGCAGCTCGGATTGCAGGGCTGAAGGTCACGCAGCTCATTAGTGCGCCAGCTGCTGCCGCTATTGCTTACAGGAGAGAAATGAACATTTACAAAGAACAAAAACTTCTCGTTCTTGTAATGGGTGGAGGAACGTGTGATGTGTCTGTAATCACCACCAAGGACGACATCATACAAGTGGATGCGACAGCAGGTGATTGTCACCTCGGTGGGACAGATTTGGACGCCAACTTGGCTGATTATCTTGTCGACCAGTTTCGGACAAAATATGGGAAGGATTTTAGCGCAAACCATGTAGCAGTACAACGTTTGCGACTTGCGTGTGAAACGGCAAAGCGTACGTTGAGTGTTAGTGCCAGGGCACATGTTAGTATTCCAGATATTCATGAAAACCTGAGACTTTCAGCCCGATTGACCCGGACCGAGTTTGAATCCATGAACGCGGATATATTTAACAAGATTCTGAACCTGGTTGAATTAGTAGTGGAAGACGCAATGATTACGAAGAATAGCATTGATGATATTGTGCTGGTTGGTGGCTCTTCCTGGATTCCCAAGGTGCAAGAGGTTTTAACCACATTCTTTGATGGTAAGCCGTTGAACCGGATCCTGAGTCCCCAAGAAGCTGTGTGTACAGGAGTAGCTATCTATGCAAATCACTCAAAACAACACAATGGAACTTCGTCTTCTGAAAATTCGATGAATGCTACCAACCACATGTTAACTGAAGTTAGTCCTTTTTCTCTTGGAATCGAAGTAAAAGGTGGGCGAATGAATTACATCATTCGTCGGAACACACCGATTCCTATACGTGATTTCAAAAGGTACACAACCACCGTCGACGAACAGGATAGTCTTTCTATTGTGATATTTGAGGGCGAAAATACAAGCGTGGCCAAAAACACATGCCTTGGAAAGTTCCATTTAACTGGATTTTCTGCAGCACCAGCCGGGGTGCCCAATATCAAAGTAGTGTTTGACGTGGATGCCAATGGAATTTTGAATGTGAAGGCATATGATGAGACCGCTCGGCAAAATGTGCCATTACCAATAACTTGTGACTCCACCCAGTTGACTCCGGATGACATTGTCCAACTGGCCAAACAAATGGAACGTTTGTGGGAAGAGAACGGGCCTCAGCCTGAGAATCATTGACAGTTCAACATTACTGCTATCGACGATTTTGTATTTCGTGGAACCTAACTACAATATGTAGGTTGGGCTCCGTATATGTTTCTTGGTTCACAATCGCGCCACCCCAACCGGGTTCTTCATCACAGAGTCTGTCATCGGCAGAAATATGCATATGCGTGAGTCGGACACCACACTAAGTCACCTACCGAGGTTATCGGAATTTTAACTGAACCGTTCTTTTACAGTGCAATGCTTTTTCAAGAATTGTTTTTGTTGCTCTGTGACGGAAAGATCACCAACTGTTGACTGTGTAAATGCAATAAATCGCGCAATGTTACCCAAATGATTGCTTAGCGAACATAGATTTATCGATTTTTAATGGGTTTCGGAACACTCACACACAGAACACGTGCTGTCTGAAGTCTTATAAAGTATGGCTGCAAGATCTCAGGGTCATCAAATAGAAGTGCGGACCAAAAGACAAATTTCTGATCCTCTCACATGTTTCACTCATGCGATGCCAGAAAATGGTAGGAACTGTTAATGTGAGTCTGAACTACTTGTGTTATTAAAGTGGACTGTAACCAAGGGCACAGATTTCAACTATAGTCAAGCACTCTCGACTACTTTCAAATTGGAAACCAGTTCCCTTCGTTTATCGCCGCTTAAATGAGGTTTCCTAGATGAGTGTTTAGTCCCACACTGCTACTAACAAGGTACAATAGCTTAACATCTCGAATATTATTTCATTTGAAAACTGAAGCAAATCTTCACTGTAAATTCAGTTATGAAAACTGAACTTAACTTATCCACATAAACTGGATATGTAAGTGTCATGTAAAAATTACTTTCACTACAAACGGATTGAAAAATCAGGCGAAATTTAAGCAATAAATCTAAACATAGCTGAATCGGGAACAAATCACTGGCACCCACAAGTGTTGTATGTTCAGCTTGTAAATGTTACTTGTAAGCAACCCCGCCCGCAAATCTTAACGAAGCATTTTGTTGTTCATATTCGTTGGAGAACGTGCAAAGTTGGCATAAGCATATTTTTCGGCGGTTTTGGCGCACCAGCAGAAAGCTGCGTTTACAAAACCAATCAGTTCTTCTATGTTTCATAGTAAACGCGCGCTCATTCACTTGCGAAATTAGAGGTGAATTCATGAACGTAGGCAGTGAGGATCTTCCAAAAAAGTCAGTCATTACGTCGCAGATCAAAATTAACTGGCATATTTGTATGAAAATGCCGGAGCTGGGGAGAGAGTACATCTCAGTTATCGCTATCCAAAACTGCTTTGCACTCTGCATACAAGAGCAATTTCAAGTCGCCTCGGGTCAGTTCGGTTTTATCAGCTATAAACCAGGTAACAAGGGTCCGTTTGTTCCAGCTGCTACGGTTTCGATCAGTGGAAAGTGAAAAAGTGGAAGATAGAGCTCGGCATCGGGGGAGATGTCTTGCTCACTTAGTTTGAGAATTTGGGAGCCACGCACTGAAAGCGATGGTTTTGATGCAGGAGACCTACAGGCCGCTTAATTGAGCCATGACTGCCAGTGTCGTTAACCCGTGTTGAGCTAATTCCCGAGGTCTCCAACTAGGGAGGAGGCTAATATTAGCCAGACTGAGTTCACTAACTAATGTTTTATTAATTTTCTGCTAGGTTATACACTGTCCATAGAGTACTGGTGATATTTCCTTGAATGGTGACGAAACTTCTGCAAGTCAATCGCCAAGCTCGGCGGACAGACCAACAACCACCTCATCAATAGCCAGCTGTTCAGCTCTCAGTCTCTTCCACTCAGCACACTGTTGGGTGAAAAATGCTCTGCAAGGCTGACGGTCCTCTGGTAAGAGAAGTATATGTCCTAACCAGGTTAACCTATGAAGCGTGAGTAATTCATCCATCGTAGGAGAGTTCCTTCTTCCTGGGACCATCTGAAGTACCTCAGCATTCCTAATCTGATGTTCCCACCAGACGCGACCAAGTGCTTCGGTCAAGGCTAGAATAGCAGGTAATCTTTTTTCCAGATAAACCAACGTGCCTCTAGTTTTTAACCCATACAAAAATTTAAGTGTACACCCTAAAAGAAGACAAAGTGAACAATTTCGCCAACTTCTAATGGGTAAAAAGGGGGCCATATAGTACGTGAAAAAATAAACGATTAATGGTGAACACGAAATCTTCCGTTTGGATGTGTCGCAGGTCTGAACTATTAGTAAGCATTGAGACGAAGGAAAGACGAACGGGGATACTGCGCTTCTGAAATACAAACCTCTAAGCTGAGTGATAACTTAAAGTGCAGCGGCCAAGTGAAATGGGAGCGGATAGAGCATTCATTAGGACTGATGATACTTCAGTTAAGCAGTCGGTGAGACGGCCAGTTGAATAGCCATATTATGTTAGAGTTCGTTGGTTAGTTAGCTAGTCAGCCGGTTAACTTTTCGTTTTCAATGTCTTTGAATGTTCATCTTCTTATGTGTATCTTTGTCTCTAAGGTAGTTATCTTTTTATTTCACATATACTCATGATTTGCACATCCTCATTACTGTCGTTGCCCTCCTTTAGCTGGATTTACCTCGCCGGCCTTCAATAATTCTCCCTAAATTTACTTTGTCTCTGATGGAGGGCTGTCCATTTTAGGCTGTGAAATAAACAAAATTTCCTTTGTCATTGATCGCGGGACTGACCTCTTCATGTTATTTCGACGTATTCCCTACTATTGTCATGTAGCCCATCAGTCGCTACAGGTTACTGGTTCACGCTCAGGAGCGTTTGGCAGTCACTCTACACCTGTCCTAGTCTCTTTCAATGAGTGCAATTCATGCACTTGCGACTGCCTTATTGGCAGTGTACTTGATCGCGTTTGTTCGTTACTCTGCGGTTTGATGAAACGAACAAAATGGCGTGAAATATTTCCATCTCATACTCGATGCATCATTTTTGTGTTGTTCAGATGAAGGAAGTGAATTGATGACTTAGATTAGTGGACCGCTTGTGTCACTTTTCAGATGGAGTATAACGGGAAGAACCTGTTTGCTGAGTATCACTACCTAACCAAAGACAGACCGTTAGGGAGAGTTGCATACCAATTAAGTCGAGACCATACCACCTTAGGATGTACGCATATTGTCTGCTATCCAGCTTTCATGCAGCACAACAAGAAGACAGCGAACATAGCCACTGGCAGTTTCGCAACCAGCTCTGGTCGAGAAAGTCCGATGTTCCGTAGTACTCCGTATTATCGTATTCACAGCTTATCCGAGAGGGCTAATTTCTGAATCATGTTGAATATCAAAGATGCTACAATTTCAGCTCCTCACTGAATCTCTCAACACAAATACATTGACGAATTCCCATTAAGTTAAGAAAATATTGTCAGCGCATAAAGTTAGTGCCAAAATAGTAACCAGCTGACATTGGGGCTTGTGCTACGTTTTCAAATCCGCTAGAATTGCACCGTTTTTGGACGTCATTCTATCTACCTACCAGAGAAGTGCACGTATTCAGACTACCCAGGCTGCATCTTACAATACAAGTAGGGAAAAGACTGTCTACTCAAACTGATCGTTCATATGGTCTATGCATCTGTCTCAGCTACCTCTGCATCATCGTATGCTTTCCAACAACTATTATCTGATTATTTGGTTGAAACGTTTTTTTCAACTTCACCTACATCAGCCCCAAGAAATGGGGCCAAGCCAGTAAGTTTAAACGCGTCGACCCGAGTAAACATTAAAGTTGTGAAATCACCTCGCATCCAAGCTCTATACCTTTTCAGCCACTTTTAGGCTGGTATTCTGGTTGCAATGGGTTCATTTATACTTAGCGGCACACCACACGTTCCCCCGCTAGTTTGCTTATGATTTTGACAGCGGTATTAAATGTCGGAAACGAATCGGATTGAAGTATGGGTGAGTCTGCTGTTGTCCAATGCAACCCAAATGAAGTGCGGGGATGGAGATACTGTTGTGGTACCCAAGACTACACAAAAGTACCCGAAAACCCAGGAGCCGTTCGAACAATAAGCATCTCGATCATTTCCCCGCACATGAGATACGTTGGATTACGTTAATTCGGAGGCGTTGGAATTTAAGTAAAAGTTATCCAGACGGTGTAAACTCGACAAATCTCTTAAATCGAAGACGTCGATTGCGTTCGATGCCATGAGATTTGACTTCAGGTTTGCAGCAGAATTACACTTGGTTTCGGACTAGTAAAATCACGCTTGAGTTATCCTCGTCCCACCAACATAGTATAAGCTGTGACTACCGCTCGTTAGAAACCTGCGCCGCCTGAAATTTCCTCGCTGTTTACCAGTTGTTTTTTTCTTGACCTTACAACACTATATTAATTCATCGATGAATTATGACAAAATTTAGTTCCGAAATATTGGGGGTTCGCCAGAAAAATGTGATTATGGGGCCACAGTGGACGGACCAGCTTTCTCGGATCATTTATCAGTGCGAACATAGAGGTAACGCCATGTCAGGACCTTGGCGTTCAGTTTAAGTCAAAACGGGCAACCAGGTGGTAAGACTTCCTTTGTAGATTAATGGGTTTTCATGCCAGCCGTCTTAAGACTAGTTACAGTCCTACGAAATGCATAATCAAGGTGGTTGAACCGTTGAGCACTCATGAATATTTCGTAAAGTGTCGGCGGCTCGTTTTTTTTTTGCGCAGCCTAGCAACATAGATGTGAAATCGTTGGAGTGTTATGCGCACACCAAAATCCTTTGTGAATGGCACTAGTTCCTACTGACGCTTCGAAATGACAGTGAACCTTCCGCTACCCCCGCCATTTCTGAGCACGCCACCCGTTTATTTCAAAACCCGTAGAGAAGTCCCCGACTGAATGTCATTTGCGGCGAAAGACCCAATGCGGCCTAAAAAAAGGGTTGACCTTTCCAGAAGGAGAACACCTGTTACCGGCCATCCGTCAGCTTTCCCTGACACTGCAGTGATATACTGAAGCCAGTGGAGTATTAACGTCGCTCACTTTCATATCACATAAGCTATGAA